AGAGTCCAATTCACAGAGAGCTTACTTCAAAACTCAGGGGAAAGCCTCTATAGTGAGCTGTCTAAAACCGTAAGACATAAGAGAAATGCTTGAGTTTAGACAGATAGAAACAGACAAAGAGGGAGAAAGACAAAAAGAAACACAGCCCTCATTATGTGGCATTTTGGAAGCCAAGCTTCTATTTGGTTTGAATAGGAGAGCTGAGCTCTTCCATGTGTGGTTTTGATAGAAGCTACGATAGACTTTCACAAGTTAAAAAGCAAAGCCCAGGAAAGTTAGGCTGAGATTCTGAAAATCCTATTAAATCATAAAAAGTTAGAGATTTCTAACTTGAGATCCACTGAACTTATTTAATAGGGAAAAAAATCTAAGAACAAAACATGTTCAAGTTATTTTTTACATAGTTCATTAATGCTCTTCTCAGTCTAACCCAGTTTTAGGGTTTATCCAGAAATTGAAAAAAATGAGGTCAGTTCTACGATGGCAAATTTCATCAAATAAAGCACTTGGTTTAGAAAACGTATCCCTAAAATGTTCTTGTCTGGATCTGTCTTAACAATCTAAAACCTAGCAGGAAGCAAAAATCCTAAAAACTCAAACCTAGGTGTGGGAAAATCAAGAGCTGTCTTTCAACTGACTTTGTTTTCTTACAGTTGAAAACCTTGCTTCACCAAAAACTATTTCCAAAATGGAAAATTTGGTTTCAGCTATCATGGTTGACATGTACATACGCTTCAGGCAGCAGTGATGCCCAAACATTTCTACAGAAGTCTCCACTGTGCCTTCTAGGGGTGGGCAAGGACTGAGCGACACCGTGGGAGGAGAGAAAGGCTAGGGAGCTCCACACTTGCTCTTCCCTGGTCCTCCCAGCATGTTACCTGGTGTTGTGAAACTCAGCGTTTGGAGAGCATTGACCATCTACGTCATATCTTTTCAAAAAATATGATCCAGCTCTTTCTGGTCAAGGGTGAAAAGATAAGCTCTCAGAGGTCCAGGAACAGGCTCTCCCTGGTAAGGATGAGCCATTCCCTCTACGAGGACCACTTGCACAAGTTCACAGCACAGTGCTGGGTGCACAGTGCCCCTCGCAATCAGGGATGCTTCTGATAGAGAAAACCACCACAGTTTTCAGGAAATGGGCAACCGACATCACCTTGTTGTGATGATTCTTCCAAAAGTTGTGGTTCCCTGCAATTCTCGTGGATATGCCAGAGACAGTGCCTGGAAATTTTTTAAATTGTGGTAAAATATATGTAATGTGAAATCTACCACCAGAACCATCTCGGGGAGTGTAATTCAGAGGCTTTAGGTACATTTATGTTGTTGTGCAACCATCCATTGCCAGAACTTTTCCATTTTCCCAAATTGAAACTCCATGTCCATTAAACAATAATTCCCCATTTCTCCCTCTACCCAGCCCCTGGCAACCACTACCCTACTTTCTGTCTCTAAGAATCTGACTATTTCAGATACATCATATAAGTGAGAAATGTATTGTAATCCATTCACAAGACTGATTTCCAGAAGTGAAATAAAATCCCAGTAGCCAGAGTGACTGTCATTTTCAATGTCTATCTGCTCTCCACATACACATACACACACACACACACACACACACACAATTTATCACTGTAGCAGCTGAGAGCCAGAGACCCTTTTCCATGGCAAAACAGAAGACAAAGTCATCTTCCTCTAGCTGATCAAGCCACAGTGATTCTTCACAGAGGCAGATGGGAAACTTGGCATCAGGAGGTCCAGTAGATTGCTGGAGTGCTTAGGGATACAGCAAAGGTGACTGCCAATTCACAGGTTCTTAAAATTTTGGCCTGAACAAAGGAGTATCCAGTTCATGGTTCCAAACCACTGAAGCATCCAGATGCTTCAGGGTGTCTATAAAAAGGAGGATTAAGGGAGGTGTCGGTAAAACCCAGCAGAGGAAGTGCCGAGCCCTGTGTGGCAGCTTACTGTGAGGAGACAGCTGAGGTGGAAGCAAGATGGTGACCTGAAAAGCTCTCTAATTTTCTCATGAGAATGGTCCCACATAATCTGCTTTGGGTGGTGAATACAAGTAGGCCCTAAAATAAGGCTTGGTTCATACCCAAGCACAAATCATGGGGCAACAGATGAACACCAACAATCACAGCAACTCCCATTTCCTGAGTACTTATTCTGCGTCAGAAACACTTACTAGGTGCTTTATACACACTGTCTCATTTGATCTTCACAACTCTATGAGATACAGATACTGTGGGTACTGCCTTTACATTGAAAAGAACACCTAATTCTGAAAAACTGTGACAAACTCAAGGTCATACAGTTTACGAAGGAGATCCACTGCAAGGTCTATGTTACCCCAAAGCTCATGCTTTAATTAACAGCCTTTCAAGGTAGAAGTTATTTTCATACCCTCATGGCAAAGAAAGAAAATTGTTCATTAGGAATCTCTTGGCTGAAATTTTTTAATGCTTAAAAACAGCCCCAATTAAACTTCAGTGGGTTAAGTGTGGGACAAGCACCAGATTCATGATCCCTCCAGTCTCTGGAGGTCTGACATGTGATCCCAGGCCAGTCACTCAGCTTCTCTGGCCCTGGGTTTCCCAGGAAACTTGTGAAACAAGGCCACTTCCCCCTCTTCTGCCCCTACCTCAAAGCATTCCATGGGGTCAATTACCCGTGCTGAGATAATAAGGCTGATATCCAAGGATGAACCTATTGGCCTACTTTCTTTTTACTTATCAGAGCTTCCAGAAAAGTTATCAGCTAATCAGCAAATAACTATCTAGCACCTACTATGTGTGCAGCCACACAGCAGTTATGCGAAGTATCCAGAAGTACAAGCACCATCCTTGCCTCTGAGGACCTATCTCCAAGTTTGGGGACTTATGAGATATATGAAACAAAAGCACAAAAACATCTGGTGGGTTGGGCCTATCACTCAGCACCCAATTATGAGACACAAACTAGAGGTATTGGAATTAGGAAGGACATCAGCCAGGACTAGAAGAGCTTAGGTTTCCAAGACAAAGTAGAATTTTAAAACAGCCTTGATAGATGAATAACGTTTGGGAAAGTGGAAAGGAAAGGCATTCCAGGCAAAAGGAACTCCAGAAGCTAAGGATGAGGCTGGATGGATGGGTGATCATAAAAGAGACCCAGAGATCTCTCGGTAGGGGTAGGGGTATGGGTGAGTGGTGGGGATGGAGCCTGGAGCCAGACTTCAGAAGACTTGAATGCCTGGAAGGGTACACTGGGAACAAAAGGTAGTGAGCTTGGTGACCCGGTGAACACTGGAAACCACTTGGTTTGGATTTCTCTGCCTTTAGTAGAGGAAAAGCAAAAGAACATGTGTACAAAGTGGGTGTTGTAACACAAAGACATCAGTCATCCCAGATAAGAGGCACTGAAGAACTCCTGGGGGCAAGGACTCATTATATTTCTGAATACAGAACTGGGAACATAATACGTACCCCAAAATGCCTGGATCTGCTGCTGCTAGTTTCATGTGGACCTTTCAGCCCCAATGTGAAAGCAAACAGGCCTGGTGCAGAATCCCTACACTTCCATTCACATCACCCCTGCCTTTCTGTTAGCTACCAGATCAGTAGGAGGTGAGCACACTGCCCACCTCTGCCCCAAGGAAGCAGGCTTTCAGATGGTCCGTTGCCCAGCAGGCCACGTGGAGTCCAACACCAAGGTGCTGTTGCAAAGGGCACTCAAGGAGAGGCTGTACCAGCAGCACTCTCCATCTAAAAAGTCCCAGACTCTTCCTATGGGAGTCACATCAAGAAACATAGTCCCTGGGTCCTCTTCAGACAAGAGGACACTAAGCAATCATGCCAGGTCTAAAGGGGTCTAGAGATGTTTGATGACATCATTCGACCCCGTGAGATGCAAGAATTGAAACAGTCCATGCAAAAGAAAGTGCTCACATTCACGGAGGTACTCTCCAGACAGTGTTGACTTAGTTGAACCTGTTATCATATAACCAGCTGGTTGCCATCTGAATCAAACTGGCAACTCAGAGCAGCTGCCCTCCCTCCCTAGCAGTCCACTGCCATGGTCTGACCTCTCCTGTAGTCTTCCCACCTCAAGGAAAATGGCAAGCCTGATTCTCACCCAGCCGCAGACCCACAGAATGAACAGGAGCCGTTTTAGCAAAGGAAAGCCTGCCCCTGCACTGCACTGAGCACCTTCACAATGAAAGAATCAGATTCTCAGATAACAGTTTAAAATGTATTGAAATACATGCACCTGCCAGGGAACAAACCCTCGCTAGTTAGATCCAGAGCAACAGAACTACTTCAATTCCTTTCTGTTCATTTCTTTTTCATAAGAAACCCCTGATGGTAGAAGCAAGAATTTCTCTAGAGAATATAACTTCCAGTATCTTTCATAAACTTTTCAAAGCAAATGAAAAGCAGTTCAGAGCAAATGTCACCTGAATGGATTTCTCTCCTTCTTACTTGAACTTCTGTGGGTATACAGGTATACAGACAGACAGACAGACACACACACTTTTAGGAAAGACATCAGCACAGCATGCTTGCTGAGGATTTGAGCACTTCAGAGTGAAAATGCAAGCTGTCTCTGCCAGGCCATCCCTGCTATGACATCAAAAAGCCCCTACCAAAGAAAAACCACCCGGGAAAGTAGCCAGGAAAGGGAAACGCCTCCTTGAAACAGCCTGAGAAAGGCGATCCTGATTCAGTCCATGCTGAAACTATTTCCTAACCCCAGCCAGGAAGTCCCTTCTCTCAGGGTGCTCTACTGCCCAGCAAACCCAGACCCGCCTTTGCGGAAGCCAGATCCCTGGGGAAAGGGGCTTCCCAGCTTCTCTGCCGCCCACTGGGATCCATCAGTAGCCAGCTCTTCCGACCCTGCCTAACCAACACAAACACAAAAGCTGCACCGCGAGCACGCGAACACACGAGCGCGCGCGCGCGCGCACACACACACACACACACACACACACACACACACACACACTGATACATACATACCTTTCACCCTCCATTGTGCGAGGCCCAGCTGGGGTGGCAGCCGCTGAGCTGTGCATGCACTGGAGGATCCTAGCTCTGTTCTCAGTCCCAGCCAACCAGCGGGAGATCTGATCAGCAACAGTGATTCAGCATGGCTGCAGATGAAGCCTCCTCCCTCTCAACACTCCTTCCTATGACTTACTCGTGGCCGCTTCTACCGCAGAAGCAGCAGCAGCAGCAGAAAATGTCTTACCCAGAGCTCCCTGCAGCCCTTTCAGCTGCTAAAAGCAGCAACCCCCTTGCTCCCCCTCCCCCACGGGCTTGCTGCTCCTCCGTCTCCTAGGAACAGCGCAGCTCTGGAGACCCAAGTGCGGTGCCACCTTTCCAGTCGCTTCCACATATGCCCAGGCATTCCCAGCCCAGGCGACTAGCCTACTCCAAGGGCTCCCATCTCCTCTGCCTGGACTCCAAAGGCTCAGGCAGTTCCTCACTAACCCAAGAAATACCAGCCCCCACCTTCCTCCCCTGCCCCCATAGGCTGTGAGCCTGTCAGCCTGGCCAGATTGCTGGAATGAGGAGGCCCCTTTGTGGCTTACAGTGGAGTTTATCCACCTGGGGAAATTGACTTGTAGGTTATAGCTCATGTTCCCATTGCTCCTCCCAAAATCTACAGTAGCTCTGTGAGTCTGATAGACAGAGAAAAATTAGGGGGAAAGAGCCTAACAGAACTGAGAAGAATGCAGAGAAAAATCAGAAAAAGAGAACTAGTAGAAATAGGTAAAACTGAAACAAACACTATTTTACTGCAAGAAATGAAACTGCAGTAAAGCCATCACAATGGATACTACATACATTTATTTCCCGAGGCCATAATGAAAGACCACAAATTCCAAAGCATAATCCTAAAATACCTTCCTAAAGTTTGTTGTGCTGAAATTTGACTTAAGCTGTGGCCCCAAACATTAAGTCTCCCACTGAATCCCCATCTCCAGCCAAAGACCTCCCACATATAATCTCCAGCTGGAGCCACAATTTAGACCACCCTAATGCTAAAACATCATCTTGGGACAGGCTGGAGGCCAGCCTGCTTCTCATAGCCACCACAGTCAAGGGGAATAGAGGTAACTGGGGCAATCAGCCACTGGTGTTTGATTAGCCACCAAAAAAATGGAAGTTCCTTGATGCCTCAGAAAAATCATACGTGAGTATCTCTAATCCAGGAACCCTGTGTGTCACATCTGTGCTTTTCAGGACCCATACTTACTACCACTAGCTAGTTGAATGACTTTCAGTCAGTCTTTTCCCCACTCTGGACCTCAGCCCCTCATCCATAACACAGGGTCAGACCAGACAATCTAGAGACCCTTTCAGTGCTAAAATCACATGATTCTAAAAATGTCTTAAATGTTCCATTTTTCTTCTCATTAGATTACCCTGTAAGATTGTTAAATGTTTACTGGACTTTAATTTTGAGGGGGCTTTAGGGAGGATAACATGATTAATGTGAAAGTATGAGGGATGCTCAGTGAATCTATTATAGTTATAATTCCAATCTGTTAAATTTCTTCACTGCCTCAAAACCCCGAGACCACAGGGAGGCAGGAAGGACACTGAGGTAATAGAAACTAAGAATAACTTAAACTTTATACAGTCCCCTGAACTCAAACTGGCTAGCATGTTACTCTCAAAGATTACCCCCTACCCCCGACACCACAATGTCCTCTTAGATGAGGTCGTTAGGTTGTTACCCAACTCACTCTTTCTCACGTAAGAAGAGGCCCAGGTGATTTTATTTACACCCTACAGCCCTGTATCACTGCTTCTTCCTTTCACAACAACACCCCTCATATCTTTCTCCCTCTCTGTCCCTTCCTTTCCTAATCAGCCCCATGGCTCTGCTCCAGATATTTCCTCTAGAAGTGAATCACAGGGACCAGAAGCTAAACATCACAAACAAGGAAACTGAATCCCAGATTTCGTGCCAGAGTTCAGACATTCACCAGGAAGACAAGTGGGTGATTCACAAACGGGACATGAGAATAAGATGAGTCTCTCACAACGGCATACCCTCACTCACAACTTCACCATATAGGAAACCAGGGAAGTGTCACATCTAACACACCAGACAGAAATTTAACAAAAGGTCAGAAAAGGAAATACTGAAGGGCTGAGCATATTCAGGTTTCAACACACAACTACTGAGAGGCAGTATAAAATTTTTACAGAATTTCCTCTGCAACCTATTTGTGCGGTGGTAACCAATGTCACTACAGTGTATGTGTTGAAAACATACTGCTATCACCTGGACACTGTACTCCCTACTCACTCTCCCCACAAGAAGTAAGCTGAACAGAGACTACTCAGAGAAGGACATCAAGAAAAGAAAGGCCACCTCGCAAAACCAGGGCCAGAGCTGAGCCCAGACTCAAAAGTCTCCAGACTCCCGGGGCAAAGTTGCCACCCTAATCTCCCCTACTATCAGAGCTACACTTTACATTTTCTACCTTAATATCCAAATGTTCTCTGGGCCACAGCCTGAACTGGCTCACCAGAGGCTAACTTTCCCTGACTGGACTTCAGATTAAGGAGAGTTGCTTTCAGATTCTCGCAATAGAGGAAAGTCCACAGAACCAGAGTCTGCCCGGAAGAAGGGGTCCCATCCTTGGAACTCCCAGCTGTAGTGTCTGACCCCCTTGCCAGCCCTCCTCCCTGTACCCAAATCTTCTCCCACAGCATACCCACTGTACCTAGGGGCCTCACTTCTCCATCCCAAAGCAATTCACCCAGCCATGTACATAGACTTGAACTTCAGAATCCTCCAGCTCTATGTGACTTAAGAAGAAACCATGTCAGAAGAATCTTTGTAGTTTTTTTGAAGTGGGTTTGGTCTAGAGTATTCTCTTCTCCACACTCCAACTCTCCACAAGGGGACTATACAGCACAGCTTATCTGGAGACAGCGAGATCAGTCTTTCTTCCTTTTATGTATCTTTTCCTTCTATTCTTGCTTTTATCCTCCTTCTCCACATCTTCAGTTCCTCACGTTTGCAGGCACCATAACACATAGCGGTGCATCAGAACCGCCTGCCCAGCTGGTTAAAATCACAGGTATCAGCAATCAGAAGGCACAAAGAAGCTTTCTAGGGTTATGACAATGTTCCATATCTTGAGTGTGATGACACTTACATAATTTTATACAACTACTACATTTTATCACACTAGACACATATAGTGAGTGAATTTTATTTTACATAAATTACACCTCAATAAATCTGGAAGAATGAAAACACTACTGGGCCAGGCTCCACCTCACACATATAGCATTAAGGGTCCAACGAGCAGGAATTTTAATGAACTTCATAGGTGACTCTAATGCATAGCTGAGTGCAAAGACCACGGTGAAAAGAACGCAGACCATGAGAATCAGACAGACCAGGGTCTGTGTGTACTTACCAGAAACATGACCCTAAGCAAGGTACTTTACAAGTCTCAATTTCCTCATCTGTATAAGGAAGATAATAATAGTACCTACCTCCCAAGGTTTTTAGGTTTCAAGGTTAAAGAATAACAAGCATTTAGCAGAGAGCCTGGCCTGTAATAAGCACTGAGAAACCATTAGTGGTTATTATTCGCATTGCCTATGCCAATGTTACCAAACTATAGCTCTGTGAGTCCTTGGTTTCAAGGTCAAGAAGAAAGTCAGTCAGGGTACCTTGTGCAAGAATTACAGCTCTGGGCCTCTCCTGGAGCCATTTCCACATCTTCTGTGGTCACTATTACCAAGAGGTCACCAGGGACTAAGCAAGACCAGAACTAAATTAAGGCCTACCCACACCTGTATCACCAACACTTCCTTTCAGATTCCGGACCACTCAATGAGTAGATTCTCCTCTCTCTGCTTAGAGGGCCCCCAGCACAGGAAGCCAGGCAGAAAATGAAAAGGAACTTGCGGCCCAAAAAAGTCAAAAGGTAAAGAGAACAGCATCTTATCCAGAGTAATGCCTGGCTTCCCTCAGGACTCCTGAGTAGATTCAAGAGGATAATCACCCGTGGCATTTGTGTTGCACTTGAAAGCTCATAAAGTGCCTCACGTCCCTCATCTCCTTGGACTTAAGATAACATCCCTTGAAGAGGAATAACAGCTCTCATCCCCTGACTATTTACTGTGGGCCAGACTTTGTACTCAAGACTTGACATGTACCCCTCTCGTTTAGTCCTCACAAAAACCCTATAAGCAGGGAAGATTAGCCCTGTTTTAAACGTGAGAAGTATAGAAATGCAACAGATTTTTGTACATTGATTTTGTACCTACAACTTTACTGAATTCATTTATTAGTTCTGACAGTTTTTTGACAGCGTCTTTAGGGTTTTCTATATATAATACCATGTCATCTGCAAATAGTGATCATTTTACTTCTTCCTTTCCAATTTGGATGCTTTACTTCTTTTTCTTGCCTAATTGTTCTAAGACTTCCAATATTATGATGCAAAAGTGGGCATCCTTCCATTTCCCTGATCTTAGAGGAAAAGTTTTCAGCCTTTCACCACTGAGTATATTAGCTGCGGACTTGGCATATATTGCCTTTATTGTGCTAAGATACGTTCTCTCTGTAATCACTTTGTCGAGAGTTTTTATCATAAATGGATGCTGAATTCTGTCAAATGCTTTTTATGCTTCTACTGGGACAATCATGTAATTTTTACACTTCATGTTGCTAATGCAGTGTATCACATTGATTGATTTGCAGATATTGAACTACCCTAGCAACCCTGGAATAAATCCCACTTGATCATGGTGTATGATCCTTTTAATGTATTAACTCAGTTTATTAATATTTTGTTGAGGATTGCATCTAGGTTCATCAGGATTATTGAACTGTAATTTTTTTTCTTGCAGCATCCTTGTTTGGTTTTGGTAACAGGATAATGGTGGCCTTATAAAATGAGTTTAGTAGAGTTCTCTCCTCTGCTAGAACTAACTAACAAATACAGTAAAGTTTCAGGACACAAAATTAATATACAAAAAAATCTGCTGTGTTTCTATACACTAATAATGAAGTATCAGAAAGAGAAATACAGAAAACTAACACATTACAATTACATCCAAAAAAGCCAAAATATCCAGGAATAAATTTAACCAAGAAGGTGAAAGACTTGTATATTCAAAACAATGAAACATTAATCAAAGAAATTGGAAAAGCCACAAATAAATGGAAATATATTCCATGCTTATGGATTGAAAGAATCAATACTGTTAAAATGTTCATACTACCCGAAGCAATCTACAGATTCAATGTACTCTCTGTCAAAATTTCAATGGATTTTTTAAATAAATTGAACAAGTAATCCTAAAATTTGTATGGAATTACAAAAAACTCCAAGTATCCAAAGCAATCTTGAGAAAGAAGGAAAAAGCCAAGGCATCATACTCTTTGGTTTCAAACTATATTACAAAGCTATAGTAATTAAAACATTTATGATATTGGCATAAAAACAGATACATAGA